TGCGACAGCTTTGTGACCACATTCCTCTCCAGCCATCTCCTCATGGGCCTAGCACCATACACCTATAATCATATTCATACAGTACAAGATAAGTGAGACACACCAATCAATCACTAGAATGCAAGGGAGAATAAAGACAAGAGACATGTACCGGGTCGTAACTCGCTGCTAAAACGTAGTCCAATGCAGCATTCGTGACAGCCATAGCTACACCTTTGTCAGCAAGCCGGAAAGCTACATTCTTCATTTGTAGTTGAACCGCTTTCCTCAGTTGCTCTTGCGACAGAGGATCAAACACCAATGTCTCATCTAATCTGTTTAGCAACTCTGGCCTGAAATGTTTTTTCACTGCTTGCATCACTTGGTCCCGAGCAACTTCCATCGTCACTTCACCTGAAAGCCCTGAAAGAAGGTGGTCAGCACCAAGGTTTGAAGTCATTATGATGACAGAGTTTGTGAAATCGCTTGTCCTCCCATGGGAATCTGTTAATCTCCCGTCTTCTAGCACTTGAAGTAGCGTGTTGAATACGTCAACATGAGCCTTCTCAACTTCATCAAATAGTACAACGCAATAAGGTCGTCTCCTCACAGCTTCCGTTAGTTGTCCACCTTTGTTATAACCAACGTACCCTGGTGGTGCCCCGATGAGTCGAGTTACCGAGTATTTTTCCATATACTCTGACATGTCAAGTCTAATGATTAGGGCCCTGTTTGTTTCCTCATCTGGATGGAGCATGCAGATGATCCATCCAAATGGTCCATCTGATGTTTGGATTTTTTTTTTTTATTCAAATGGTTCAGCTAAATGATTCATGTGTTCTTCTATTCAAATAGTCTATTTAGATGATTTTAATTAAAAAATGACTAAAATACTCATATATTTGTTAAATCTTTTTTTTATCTACATTAATTTTCTAAATATTTCAATATTAAATCTAAAATAATATCAAAGTCATCAAGCGTGATTTCACAATTTTGATGAAAATGTAATTTTGCGTTTTGATAGAAAAACAAAATTTCACAGTTTTGGTTGGAAAATACGACTCTACGCGATTTAGCTGAAAAAATGCGAAATCACTTTTGCGATTTAAGCGGAAAAACACGATTTTTTTGTATCGGCAAAAAACGTGATTTCTCGGTTTAAGCGGAAAAACGCGATTTTGTGGTTTCAGCAGAAAAATATGAATTTGCGGTTTAAGCAGAAAACTGCGATTTCAAGGTTTCGTCGAAAAGATATGATTTTACACTTTAAACGGAAAAACGTGATTTCTAGGTTTCAGCAGAAATTTCGCGGTTTAAACGGAAAACCACAATTTTGCGGTTTCAGCACAAAAACACAATTTCTAGGCTTTGGTAGAAATTCCACGGTTTTCGCGGAACATCGCGATTTTTACGGTTTTTGCGGAAACACACGATTTTGGGGGTTTTGTGGAACAACGCGCTTTTGCGGTTTTGGCGGGAAAACGTGATTTTGCGGTTTTGGCGGAAACACACGATTTTGCGTTTTAGGAGGAACAAAGCGATTTTGCGGTTTTGGAGGAAAAAAAACATCTTTGCGGTTTTAGCGGAACAGCGTGATTTTGCGGTTTTGGCGGGAAAACGCGATTTTGCCGTTTTGAAGGAACAACACTATTTTTTTATTTCGGCAGAAAAATGTTATTTTGCGGTTTTGGCGGGAAAACGCGTGGTTTGGGCGGAACAACACGATTTTTTTATTTCGGCAGAAAAACGCGATTTTTCGGTTTTGGCGGAACAACATGATTTTTCGGTCTCGGCGGAAAAACGTGATTTTGCGATTTCGACAGAAAAACGTTATTTCACGGTTTTGGGGGAAAACGCCATTTTGCGATTTCGGCGGAAAAACGTTATTTTGCGATTTTGGTGAAAAAAAGTTTTTTTTTGGCGAAAAACGTGATTTTGCGGTTTCGGTGGGAAAATATAATTTTGCTGTTTTGGTGGAAAAACATAATTTTACGGTTTTGGTGGAAAAACGTAATTTTACGGTTTGGACGGGAAAATATAATTTTGTGGATAATTTTGATTTCCTAGTTTTTATTAAATAGATATTATTAATATTTTTCTTGTGTAAATATATTTAGGGGTTTATGTGTCATTTGCATATTTGGGATGGATCATCTCTCATCCAAATGCTCCAATTCGGATCAGCCAGATGATCCATCTAAATATCAAAAAATTTGCCTATAAATTCAAAACTCATTCGGATGGATGTTGTTCATTTTTGTTGTTAAACGAACATCATTCAGCTGATCCAGCCAGATGATCTAGCTGAATGATCAAACGAACAGGCCCTAGGTTTTCATCGTCAAAGAGTTGCTCAGCGAGAGCCTTAGCTAGCTCAGTTTTGCCGACACCAGTTGGACCGAGGAAGAGGAAAGAGCCATTAGGTTGTTGTGGCCTTCTAGTCCAGCCCTCGACCTTTGAATTGCTTCAGCCACAACGTTCACCGCGTGGTCCTGCCCAACAACCCTTTGGTGCAACCTATCAGCAAGAGAAAGTAGCCTGTCCTTCTCGTTCTGGTCAAGTCTAGTCACTGGAATCTTAGTCCGTCGGCTCACTACCGCAGCAATGTGCTCTGGTCCAACGGTTTCTCTAAGCATCACATTCTCTTTGGAACTCTCTTGTAATTTTGCAATTGCGGATTCCACTTCCTTGATTTCACCACGTCTTAGATCAGCAGCACTAGGAAGGCCATCTTGTTTCTCAGCCTCCTCTTTCTTCTCAGCACTAGGAAGGCCATCTTGTTTCTCAGCCTCCTCTTTCTTCTCAGCACTAGGAAGGTCATCTTGTTTCTCAGACTCCTCTTGCTTATCAGCACTAGGAAGGTCATCTTGTTTCTCAGCCTCCTCTTGCTTCTCAGCACTAGGAAGGTGATCTTGTTTCTTAGCCTCCTCTTGCTTCTCAGCACTAGGAAGGTCATTTTGTTTCTCAGCCTCCTGTAGAGCAATCGTGAGCTCTTCTCGTTTCTGTTTAAGCCTCCGAATCTCATCAATTATCTCTTTCTCTTTTCTGTATTTCGTTGTGAGAGGCTGAAGCTTGTCCTTCAAGTCATCAAGCTCTTTCCATACCTACAGAAACAACAACAAAAAGGCTCAGCTATATAGGGAGATCATCATACCTAAGTAACTAAATGTAGCAAAGTAGTAACTGTACCTCCACAAGACGAGCTTTGTCCTTGTCCTTTTCTAGGGCTTGAAGTTCTATCTCTAGCTGCATTCTCTTTCTTTCAAAGTTATCAATTTCTTCAGGTTGACTATTAAGCTGGACTCTTACGTTAGCACAAGCCTCATCAACCAAATCAATTGCCTTATCTGGTAAATGTCGACCTACAAAACAAAACATATATGGTAGGCCAAACACAACAAATAATCAACCAAGGAAATAGTAAGGATCACAAACACACGTACCAGTGATGTAACGAGCAGAAAACTGAGCAGAAACAACAAGAGCTCTGTCTTGGATACGAACACCATGGTGTCCTTCATATTTCTTTTTGAGCCCTCTAAGAATATTGATAGTGTCACGCACACTAGGCTCAGCCACCAACACTTGCTGGAACTTTCTCTCAAACGCAGCATCTTTCTCAGCGTATTTACGGTATTTCGGTAGCGTAGTAGCTCCAATACAACGAAGCTGGCCTCTAGCTAACAAAGTAGCAGCATCCGTGGAATCACCGAGAACCATGTGGATCTCATCGATAAAGAGAACAACTTTGCCTTGAGCATCCTCAACCTCTTTCAACACAGACTTCACTCTCTCCTCGAACTCTCCCTTGTACGTTGGTCCAGCAACTAATGCACACATGTCCAAGGCAATGAGTTTTACATCGGTTAGATTGCTCGGCACGTCTCCTTTCATTATCCTTTGTGCTAAACCTTCCACCACAGCGGTTTTGCCAACCCCTGGTTCCCCGACCAGAACCGGGCTGTTCTTCGTTCTCCTTGACAGAATGCTAACTACTCTTCTAATCTCCTCGTCTCGGCCAATCACAGGATCAAGCTTACTTGCTTGCTCAACCAAATCTCTCCCATAAGTCTTCAAAGCCGGAAGATTTGCCACCATCACTACAGCTCTTTTCTTCTTCTTTTTCCGTGTGGGAGAGATTTGAGATTGATAATGCGTAGGTTAATATAATATATAGAATCTATCGACCCTCGTGTTTCGGATGTGTTTTAGGAGAATAAGAACGGCAGAGAAGAAGAGAATTAGAAAAGGAAACACATGTATATATCTACTTTTTGTTTCCTCCTTTTTAGTTTTCTTTTTGACGTCATTCGCTTTTTCCTACTTTTTTTGTATCTCAAAAAATTGAAATTTTCTTTATTTTGACCAAAAAAAACTTTTGAGAATATCTCTATTTACATAAAACTTTTTAGTTTTCCTTTGACTCAATTTGTTTTTGCCAAACACTTTATTTTGACTATAAAAGCATAAAAACTTGTATAAAAGTTATATTGTTTAAACAAAATAACAATAGATTTGATATAGATTTTAAAAAACCATTAGACCAATACCAATAGATTTTAGTAAAAATGTTAGAACTCATTAACCAGTAAAATGAATTTAATTTTGTTTTAACAATCATTTAAAATTCATCTCTCAATAACTTTCCTAATAATCAAAATTATTATGGAGAATTTAATTATAAATGGTTCGACTCCAGTAGGAAAAATAAATAAAATAATGAAATTATTCACTGTAAAATAAATACAGTGAGGAATTCCGGTGCCCTCAATTTTGTCTTCCAACCCAAAAATCAGGAAGAAGGAAGATTGACAAACAAAAAGGATTCACCTTTTTATGTGAGAGATTGCAGAAAAAGTGAAGCTTGGAGAGAGAATAAACACGTAGAGTTTTCTATTCCGTGGTCGCAAACAAACGACTCACAAGAGAACACGATACACTCTCTCCTTGCTTCTTCCCTTCAATCTCTTTCCCCAATTTTCAATTTTTTTTTTTCACTCTCTCGAATTCATCGCTCGATGTCGAACGACGACTCTCTTCCGGCATTCACTTTGTTCGGTTTGGATGAGGTCGAAAGTTACGGTCTGGTGAGTCCTCGTATCACTCGATTGCTTCTTCTTCTTCTATGTTTTTGATTTTGCGAACAATGCATGCTCTAATTTCCGATTGCTGGATTGAGATTTTCGTTAATGTTTGATTTGATCATCTGAAATTTGGTTTTCCAGCTCAGTGAAGCAGACAATTCGTTACCTATGGACATTCACAATCAGGCTTTTCAACTTGTAGAGAAGGGAAACCAATCATTCAAAGAGTCTAACTTTGAAGAGGTGAAAATTTCATTTTTCTTCGTCCTGCTGCTTTTATTTAGTCAATTGGGTATCTTCTAGCTTCTTCTGGTGAACATGAGAATGATAGTAGAAGTAGTCATATGGAAAAGTTTTGTTTTTCTGGCTTTGAACTTGTGATAATTGCTTACTCGACCTGTTTGCCAATAGATTATTCTGCAAATTCGAGGTAGTTTGCAACTTTGATGCTGAAATTCAAATGAGATGGACAAATTTTTCGTTCTTGCCAATAACGTGTCTTATTCTTTTTTCCGTTTACAGGCGATTAGCAGTTATTCAAAAGCCAATTCTATAAAGCCTCTTAATCCTATTGTTCTAGGCAATAGAAGTTCTGCTTATATAAGGTAAGCTTGCATAAACTTATCCCATCATCTTTCTTACTTCCAATGGAGTTGTCGTGTTGTTTTGATTAAGGATTATATAGGATTGTGTAACAAATTTTTGCCCTTTAGCTCAGTTTATAAATACCACACCTTGTTGACATTCTTATCTCTCTCCATCTCCCAACCTTTTGCTTTTTTTTTTTGTTTAAATAGATTTGGCCAAGATCTGAAGCAGAGATCTGCAAAAATTTCTGAAGAGGAACCTCTGTATGGATTTGATATGTCGATGCTTGGGGAAGTATGTATTCTACTTGCTTAACCTGTCACTAGAAGTTGCATCATTTATCCACTCTGACTCGCCCTGAAATTTTTTTAATATTTCCTGCAGCTTGCTCTTAAGGATGCCGAGAAGCTAATGAATCTTCAGAGCAGTTCAGTGAAGTCATACATTATAAAGGCTTGTGCCCTCATGTTGGTATGTGCTGAGTTATTCTTCTGTCTTCAAACTCATATTGTTTTAGTCAACAGTCTTTAATCCTAGATACTATCAATAGTTTCTCGGTCTACTTTATGTCAATTTTTTGTTGTTTTCATTCTGCAGCTAGAAAGATATGAGGTAGCACGTGAAACAATACTCTCAGGTCTACAGATTGATCCCTTTAGGTATAGTAGTCTCTAGTCTATATGTACCATTCTTGTTTCTGTTGATGCCTAGTAGAATGTGACGATTTTAAAGTTTGGGGTTTCTGTCTGATTGCATGAAGCGAACCTCTGCGATCCAATCTCCAGGAATTGGAGAAGGTTCTGCCTACTTCGATGAGAAAGACGGCCCATGTAAAGGCTGAGCGGTCTGATGACTTTGATTGCACTGTTTGCCTGAAATTGCTGTATGAGCCTCTTACAACTCCATGCGGGCATACATTCTGCCGATCATGCCTCTTTCAGTCAATGGATCGCGGTGGGTTTTTATATGGTTGATTGTTGCTTTACTCCTGAAAATTCATTCTTTTGACTAATGTGTTGCTTATCATTGCTTTTGTGGAATATAGGGAACAAATGTCCACTATGTCGAACTGTCATTTTTATGACTCCAAGAACATGCGCTGTCAGGTAAAATATTTGCACTGGTCTCTCTTCTCCTTATAGCTCCATGCCATATCATCTATGCAACTGTATCTTGAGAGCTTGTGTTTAAAAATTCTTCTACTGAAGCAACTATGTGTTGGCAGTGTGACGCTGAATAACATCATACAGAAAAACTTTCCAGAGGAGTATGCTGAAAGGAAATCTGAGCAAGACACTCTGGTCCACTTGGGCAATGAAAGTATGCCTCTTTTTGTCATGGATGTGATCATACCCAGTCAGAAGTTGTCTCTTCACATATTTGAACCACGATATCGACTAATGGTGAGTTCTTTCAATTTATTTTACAGTTGTACATTTTAGAGCTTAAGTAGCCTACTCTTTAAAAATTATTCTGAAACTCTCTTTTATCGTGTACTTTGATTAACATGTGTTGGCTGAAAATAGGTGAGAAGAATTATGGAGGGAAATCACCGGATGGGAATGGTGGGTGTTGTGTCTTTTTCTTCTTCTTTTTCCATCGTTAAACATTTATAAAAGGTTCCTGACTAGTAAGGTTTGCCCATTCCGATGTTCGTAGGTAGCTCTTGATTCTGCGACAGGTTCTCCAGTGGATGTTGCTTGCGAAGTTGAAATCACAGAGTCTGTTGCTTCTTTCTTTCTGATGATATTTTATGTCCTTCAGTTAATGGCTTTATCTTTGAGTTACTCACACACAGTCTTCTAATTACGCAGGTGTGATCCACTCCCGGATGGACGATTTGTCCTGGAGGTGAATACTATTTTCATTACATCTTTAAACCCATATTACTTGAATCAATTTGACTGAATCCCTTTTCATGTGACATAGTCATACTATAGAAAGCATAATTTCTGGGTACCTCAGTAGAGTCATTGGAGTACATTTTCTGCAGTTACAATATTTGTCAGGCTATCTAAGATTTGAGCTTCATTGTGACTTAACTATCATTAAAAGTAGTTTGCGGTTTATTATGTGTTATTACTTATTTTGTGTGCTCATCTCATGTGTTATCAAGTGATGAACTTAGTATCTACTTTTTTCAGCTGGAAAGCCATAGAAGGTGCCGCATTGTAAAAGCTTGGGATCAAGATGGGTAAGCTTTCTAAAAGATTGCATTTTTCCATTATTTTCCAACATTATTGAAGATCAGATTTGGGGCTCTTTTGCAAAGTCGGTTGTTCAAATTTTGTTTGATACACATTCCCTCATTTCAGTCATATTCAAACACAAATGCGTTAACTTCTTATTATCCGTCTTTTTTGTGTTTCAGGTATCGTGTTGCAGAGGTTGAATGGGTGACAGATATACCACCACAAAGCGACCAAGAGAAAACAGATGTATGATTAACGCTATCTCAACAGTATTATAATCTTTTTGTGCATTCCATTTCAATCCTTCTCTGCATTCGCTATAGTGAGTTTATTTCCCTTTTTTTTTTACTCAGCTGCAGGAACTGACGAGCAGTGCAGCAACATTTGCTCGTTCATGGCTAGACAGAGCAAAGGAAGCAGCTAGACAAGGAGGTAAGCAATTATTCGTTAAACTGAGAATGGAAAGTGACACTAGTCATGACTAATGAGATTGAATGATTAATAGTTGTGCCATTCGTATACTCTTACTAATCTTTTCCCTTTTGTTCCGCAGACAGAAGAAGACTTGAAATACTTCTAAATGTTGAATCTATGATACCTACACCTCAAGATCCCGAACGCTTCAGTTTTTGGGTAATGTTGTTCATCTGCAAAAACACTCTCTAAACATGGACACAAACTCTTGCCATACACACCTGTGATGAATTATTTTCTCAATGACTGTTTTTGTTTGTTTGGCCTCAGCTTGCTACATTGACAGATAGGAGACCTTCAGAAAGATTGGAACTACTTCGGCTTCAAGATACTGGAGAGGTACTTTAATATCGTTTAGTCTAAGATTGCTCGATTATAATCTTATCGGTCCATTTCTTTTGATTGTTGAATCTTTTTTGTTGCAGAGAATAAGGCGTGGGTTGATATATCTTCGATCAGTGGAACGAGGATGCAGAATGCAATGAACTTGCAACATATACCCTATTAAAGGACAGAGATAAACTTGGAATCTGTTCAAAGAACGTTGACAAAAAAGAAAATTATATTCTTATTAAAAGGAATACATAAGATAAGAGATCCTTGTGGGATCATTATCATCCTTGGTCACTCCATTGTTGTAGATTTTGTTCGAGTGTGTTGTAACCAAAATTACCATATTGTTCGTTATGCAACTGCTAAAAAAATGAAGATTCTTGAAAATTCTTTATATACAACCTGTCGTCCATACAGTTTGTCAATTTTATACTGTTATGTCAAATTCAAAGTTCAAACTGTCAAATTGTACCAAAATTACAAATTGTATAGTTGCCAATAGATATATACAACGTCACATCCTGATGACACAACGATCATAATGCGACATGCCTCGCATACACCATCGTCACGGGACATCATTAAGTACCATAACTACCACACACATCATCCGTCACCATCATGTAACGAGAGGGTCCCAAACCCGTTTTTGGTATAAATCAGTAAATATAACAAATATCCAGATCTTTCATACAACCGGATTATTCTATATATTTATATGTTAAGAAATACGCTAATGATACTGAGCTAGCTCTATACATTATGCCTGGAAAATGGAAATCATAAATTCTTCTCAAAATTTTAACTTAGAGAAGATTAAGTCATAAATAACATAACAAAAAAAATGCTTCATGGCTTTCTCCATATTTGCTTGATCATCACAGTTTCTGAAGATCTTGTTATCGTTGTGCTTCTCAAAACCATAAAAATGTATAGTATTTTGGGTTCTTGGAGCTCTCTTCTGGATTCTCCACTAGGGAAGCTTTTTGTGACAGACGAATTTGTAAAGACTAAAGAGTCATCATTTCCCTTGTTTCTTACCTGCAATTCAAAAAATCCATACACTTGTTGCTCGTCATGTCTTGAGATCTTATGGTATAGAGTAAGAAACATAGAGGGCTTAGTAGCATCGTGTTATACCTTTCTGGAACCAAGATTTTCGAACTAACTGACGAATCTGGCGTTCATGGCGTTCCAAAAGCTCATCAACTCCATAAGATTGAGACAACAAGGGCCCTGAGAATTCGATTTTTTCATCATTGTCTTCGTAACCCTGCCAAAGTTCTTTACTCATTAGCATAATTGAGTACGCTTTTCAACTTTTCCTAAAAGAAAACAAAGCAAATCATGCATGTTCCACTTTTTCCTATCAAGTAATAAAGCTACACTCAATCAAACAGCAATCTTGATCTCTTTCTACTCACTGTATGATGTCACTGCAAACCTGAGTATACTTGGTCTCTACTGTATCAGCTAGAATTTGGATACTATGTAAAAGAAAAAACGGAATGCTACTGACGTACCAAATGACCCCGTTTTGCTGCCTTTTCTTCTCTCTGATAAGGTGCCAACGATAGATCCTGTGAATGATACTCATCCGAAGCATCAAAAGAATCTGGACGCTCAAGTTGTCTCCACTTCTTCAGCATCGAAAGCTTCAACATCTCATACGATTCACGGTCTTGGGAATCTGTCCTCCCCCCATGTTTCTCGTCCTTTTCATTCCCTTTTACCTTAGACTCAACGTCAGTGCTCTCACTGAAAGCAGGGGAAGGTCCCAACAGGTTATGAATGTGACCTCTTGAGAGAGATCTGTTATGTGATGATCTAACACATATGTCGTCTTTCCGTCGCTTTGCCCATGCAAAACCGCTTGATACAGAGACTTGCAAAGGCCCTGAAAAAGGCACGTCTCCTTGTGACGCGTTCTTCACATGAGAAGAAGCTTCTTCTTTTTCATTATCTGATGGCTTTTGCTGTTTCCCATATAAAGTGGCATCGCTATCAATCGAAGTATGAACTGAATGACCATTACGTTTCTGAAATGTCTGGGAAGAGTGTCGTACATCCTACAAGCAGATAAAAAAAGGGAAAGGTTTAGGTACTTTCTTGTTGCTTAAGGAACTCTCTTCTCAAAGATAATATGTAAACAAGAGAGTGATATTACCTCAGCTGGTGCTAATTTAGCAAATGCAGGGGGCTTTCGTGTTGGCTTCCTTGATTCTGTACCACGTCTCCCACTCCCGCTGATTTTTTTCCTGGAATTCCAAATAACATATGAAGATAATCAACGAATGCTTCCAAGAGAATTAAGAGCAAAGAAAATGATGGTAATGAATGAAACTCTGACCTTGTTGCTTCTTCTCGATGCTTTGCATCAATCTCCTTGCTAGGCGAGTATACAGGCAAGCTTGAGGGATCACAAGCAAAAGGCTTTGCAGTGAAATACTGAAAAAAAAGATAAAGGTAATGTCTTTTGAGAAGATGTGACAAGATCTTCCCGGAAATCAAAGTTCCAAATCTTCAAACCTGAAGCTGTCATAGTATTTGAAAGGTAAAATGGTTACCTGGGAAACAAGGGCAGTAGACGCAGTCCCACGTTTGTGAGGCTCTACAGACAGAAGGGTTTCTATAAGAGTGATGTCAGCGTCAGATAACTCTTTCAAGGTTTCTCTGAGACACCCATCATAGTGTTGCTGTGGTTTGAAAAGCATTGCGTGAGGAAGTTTGGATTTTTTCCAGTAATCTGCAGGTGGAGATCCACATAGTTTGAATATCTTGTGCAACTGCTCGACCTGTAACATACATTTCAAGAAACAGAGCAATATACAGAATCAAAAGATCTGAAAAGCGACATGTAGCAGATATATATACAAGAACAAAACATTATATGGTTTACCTCAGTTCTTCCCTGAAGAACAGGTCTCCCGAGAAGAAGCTCAGCAAAAACACAGCCAACACTCCACAAATCAACAGACGCTCCATATTCCGTTGCCCCGAGTAAAAGTTCAGGCGGACGGTACCACAGTGTCACAACTCGACTGGTAAGAGGTTGCTTATTCACAGAAGCATTGCAAAAGTTTGCTAACCCAAAGTCAGCCACTTTTAATATTCCTTCATTGTTCACAAGCAGATTTGAGCCCTTTATGTCCCTATGCATCACACCTCGTGTGTGACAGTGATCAAGTCCAGACAACAATTGTTTCATATAGCACTTAATCTGCAAGGCCATAGCAACAGTCAACTCTCGTACTACATCATCAGTCAACGATAAAATCACTATTGAATCAAATTGACCTGTGGAGTTGTGAAGTTGATGTCAGGGCTAGAGAGAAGACCGGTGAGATCATGCTCCATATACTCGAATACGAGATGTATGTTGCAAGATAGTTTTGAAGTAACCAATCCTTCTAGTTTGATAACGTTGGGATGATTGAGTCTCCTCAGTATCAAAATCTCTCTCGCCATGAACCTAACACTCTCCGGCTCAAAATTGTCGAATCTAACCTTCTTCAAAGCCACTATCCTCCCAGTTTCAGTCTCTCTTGCACGGAACACGCTACTATACGTCCCTTGCCCAATCTTCAAAACCACCATCAAAAATCAAAGCTTATCAATTGAATGCATAATATACAGAGAACTGTAACTGCTTGAGTATGTTCCAAAAAAGTTAACCTTTTCTAGCTTTTCGAAAGCGTCGGATCGAAATGGGACCCAGCCATGGATGGCTTCGCCGGCGACGTTGCTCAGCCAGGCAGGCCAACCGGCGGCGACTTGTTCAGCTTCCAAGTACTTACTTAGATTTCCGAGCCGGAAACTCAACGAGTCGCTTCTACGATTCGAACTCGCTCGACCGGACTCGCTCAACTCGCCAAACTCGCTTACCAGCTCACTGCCGCTCTTCTTGCCACTCTTACTCTTCTTCCCGCTCTTGCTCCTCCACGACGACATGAGCTTCTTCTCCACCGCCGGAGAAGGATCCTCGACCATAATTCGACCCGAACCGGAGCAAGCATTGTCTCTGAACACTCCTGAGTGATCGATCGCTGGCGTTACAGAGACGGTCTGCTTCGAGCTGACGCAACCCATTTCGGAATTTCGCTCCTTCACGTATACGTCACCACATGGATTCCGGCGCCGGTTACGATCCGAACCGTCAAGGACTTGGATCCGGATTCGAATTCAACTGTGATTGATTCTCCAGAAAACTGAAAACTATTGATGCTTCGTTTTTCCTTATATATACATGTACAGAGTAAGAAAGAGAATGTTTTCTCGGCTTTTTCGCTATTTTAATTTTGGCGTGAATTGCGGAAGATGGAGCTCCTTTTATAATTAAATGATTTTACACGAAAATGGAAATATTTAGCCGAAATCGACGGGAAGATTTTTCGATCGACAATGATGATGACTGATGAATTGATCACAGTACAGATTTGATTTATTAACAGTTTAGTTAATAAAAGAGGAAAATACATATACATAAAAACGGTTATTCGATTTATTTTGCTATCAACTTGTACGGTTAACATTTCTAACTAAAATCGAGGTAACGTTTGCTAAGAACAGTGTATGACCCAACTATTAATTTATTGGTTATGGCAATGGAAACTAATTTGACTAGTGTGGTGGGCACAGAGATTGCGCTAATACGGCCAAAACACAGTGGTGGGTCGTTGTTGACTACTTTGGCAATTTTTGTAGATATAAAATGAGAAAATTAGAGTCAAAGGCACTTTATGATTTACATATTATAGTAGAAGGCATTTTTGGCTTTTGGGTGACTTTGATGAGTTTTGGACCCAAAAGATAGACTACAAATTCCAATTTTGCCCTTTTAATAATATTGTCAAAATTCACTTTTTCGTGAAGGAGAAGATGAAATTACTTTCACCGCTGCAAATCTTTTTAAAATCTAAAGCCTCAATACATCGCTGGAATAACTCGACAACTACGTCGGAGGATGAGCACAAGCGAGGTTAAGAAGAAAAAGTTTATGGATCTTGAGAAATCCATGTGAATGCTGAAGAAAATTATCAATTTTGCCTTGTTTCAAATCTATTCCATAATTTAAAAGAGAATTGAAATTTTCTGTGCCAAAACAGAGGGGAGCGTATCAATGTTCTCAACCATCCGATGACATAGATTATTA